TTACAGAGCTGTAGTTCGAGAAGTGACAATGGTTGCACGGCGTTAGCGCGTGCAATAATTATTAACATAATCGATAGACTACGACGTACGCCTAAGAGAGAGTTCTTAAATCGAAGAATCGGTAGGTATCACGTGTAACATATCGGAATACTTTGAAAAGTCTCTTATACGAATAAAATTAGCCTAAAAGAATGAGCAACATTCGAGCGAACGAGTTTCATCGATCGAACGGTACAACCCGGCTCGAACTCGTTTTCCGTTTTACATATTTTGGAAAAGTTCCGAGCGGACGTATACGTGGGGGGAAACGATCGAGATCATGTTCATAATTTACGTGAACAGCGAATTACGAGCGAGTGACACGTTACATTGAATGGCAGGAGGAACTATCTCAAAGATTGTTGAGGTAATGAGGAAGAATATGCTATTAAATTAATCCTAAATATCGTTACCGTCTTACATTCTAAGGTTCTCACGGTCGATTCAAATACTTCCTTAACGAATACTTCAACCCTTGAACGCGCGACTATGTATATACGTCTATTCCAAATTATCACTTGAAACGAAAATGATTTAAGAGTGCGATTAGTAACTTCATCCAATTTTATATGCTCCTCATAGAGTAATAAAATTTAAACAAGTTTTACAATTTTAATATTCAGCAGATTCAGTAACATTTATTATTGACATAATTATGTGAAACAAGAATATTTTATGAGATGTTCATTGAAGCGCATTGAAGGGTTAAAATAGTACTAAGCTAATAGAAACGCTTAAATCATAAGAGGTGCACAGTGACGCTGCCGTGACAAGTCAGCGGGTTTCGCCGCAGCGGCGGAGCCTTCGAGCATACCGTTAAATTAAATTGATAAAGTGCGATCCAAAATCGAGGCCCTAGCAGCTGCGGCTCCTCTCGACACGCTTTTTCATCGCAGAAGCACCACCGTGGCGAAAGCACGCGACAAGTAACACGTTCAGTCGATTCGTTCTTTAAATGTTCCGCTGCTTCGTTCGCTTACTCTACTCTTCCTTACGTCCCGTCAGGAACAGCTCCACACAATTTCATACTCCTGTCGTATTTTTCAATTAATCATTGATTTCAGTTTTATGCATAGAATCAACTAATCATTGCTTTATTTTAAACTCATTAGATAGATTCTAAATAAACGAGACTTGCATGCTTTACGAGTATACGTTGTCGATTAACAGATACGATACACTAGGGATAAAGGAAGTAATTAAATAATAAAAAAAAGAATAAGAAGAAGCGTAAAAAATTTCTAAGTGTAACCAGTATATCGCAGTATAACGTGATGCGGGCCAGTAAAATCGCTACTTTCTGAACCATCCTACGTTTACAGAAATCTCGGCGAGGGTAAAGACACGATTGAACGCGATCACAAGAAAAATTACGCAACTACACGGTTGGCGCCACGATCAGAGGATCTCTTGTTACTCGCGACGTAATCGCTAGACGAACGAAGGGAAAAGAAATGTCCCTCGGTCGTGGCACGATCGTCAAAGGCCATCTCTGAGTAATGCGCGCACAAAAGTTCGTACTTTCGCCACCGAAAGGAATCGCTTTCATTTGTCTGCGGGCGTTTCGCAACGGACGGGTGTCGCGTCGAATTCCACCGCGTTCCTTCCGATCGAATCGTCTAGCAAATATTTTTACTCTTTCTTCATTGTCAACGAGAGATCCTAGACAAGGTTGGACTTATAAATTAATCGTTGAGGCAGTTGCGTTGGCAAGAGCGAAAGAATCAGTCATTTTCGGTCCCGTCGACATCGTCGCGTTGCTTTCAATGATAGGAGACTGATAAAGTGTTTCTCTTGTTTTTAATGTTTATGTCTAATTTTTGTCACTAATTACTTCTTAATATCGTGCATGCTCGACATACATAAATTATGTTGAAATGCACGAAAAACTGTTTAAAAAATTTAAATAAGAGGAATACGTTGAAGTAAATTAAAATCCAGTGACTATGTTTTGGGAAACAGTGAATAATTCAAACGTAGGTCTTACATCAGTCCTTACAAATTAAAAACTCGCTGCTTAAAATTACTTTCTGAGGCAGTTGAGAATATCAGTCGTTTCGTTTCGTCTCTTAAAGGCGATAATGCACGATCCACTTTGTTCGATCTGATAAAATTTAAAAGAAAATGGTTCCGTTTTCTGGACGTTATATCAACTTGTCGAACAAATTGAAAAACAGTGTAGATTAGGATTAAAATAGATCAGTCGAAGTGGATCAAAGAGACGCATTCGTCAGAAAATAAAGCCACGCAACCCGTCGACTCGCCTCAGTTACTATTTCTTCAGAGAAAGGAACTTCATCAGCGCGTCGTAGATTAGTCGAGGATTGATGGTACCGTCCGCGGTGTACCGGACACCTCTCAAAGAGCCGTCGTCGTGACTAACCACTCCGTATTCACCAACAATGAAACCGTCCGGGGTTCTCTCCTCGACCCTGTACTTCCTAAAGTTCCTACCCTCGACCACGTAGCCCACCTTATGTCCGTCCTCCACCTCAGAGGCGTTCGAGGGCTCGGTGAGCATTATCTGAGGCCCGTGGACGTTCCCGTTGCTGCTCACGCTGACGGACTCGTCGACTTCGTAGTTCTGTTCGTCAGGCTCTCCACCACGCGACGCCTGGTTCAACGGTTGGCCCTCGGGATCGTACAATTTACTCGGTTCGCTGTAAACTTTCGAGGGTTGCGAGTAAACCTTGGCAGGCTCCGAGTAAACCTTGGCTGGTTCCGAATAAACTTTCGACGGTTCGGAGTAAACTCTTTCAGGTTCGCCGTAAACCTTGGCGGGTTCGCTGTACACCTTGGCTGGTTCGCTGTACACCTTCGCCGGCTCGCTGTAGACCTTCGCCGGCTCGCTATACATCTTCGCCGGTTCTCCATACACTTTTTCCGGTTCGCTATAGACTTTAGCAGGCTCGCTGTACAATTTCGCCGGCTCGCTGTACGGTCTAGAGGACTTGTAATTCCTAGGCTGACTATAAACTTTTGCCCCAGGACGATTGTAGTTAGAAGTATCGTAGTGTCTACTGGCCTTTCGGCCTTGAGTCTGGAACCGCTCCGAGTGCATCTCGACCGGCTCTTCGCTGAACTCCTTCGGCTCCGAGTTCTCCTCCGGCAGCTCGTAATTCTCTTCGGTCGGCAGAGTGATCATATCCTCCGGTACATCACTGCTATTAGTCTCCTTTTGATGCTCGACAAAGGCGGTAGTGTGCTGGGTGACCGGACCCGGCGTGATCGAGCTCTGATCGCGCCAACTAGTGCTCGGCGAACCCTCGTCAACGGAGAACTCGCTCCTGTTAGACTCGGAAACGATATTGCTGAGCTCCTCCGTGACGAAGCTGGAAGGCGACGACGACGCGGTCGTCGATGATTTAGGAGTGGTCGTCGTCGGCGTTGTCTTCGCGGTCATGTTCAGGCTCTTCACTGTAGGCGTTCTCGTCGTGGCATTCCTCAGTTCTCTCGTGACATCCTTAGACGAAATTCCAGTTGGACTCGGTTGTCGAGTGGAATCTGCGTTATCGTAATGTTCCACCCTGACCTTGTATGGCGTAGCCTCGACAGTGGACGTCACGCTGACGCCTATAACTTTCTGTCGACTGACTCCTTTGTTAGTCGAACTGTTAGTAGCGTTGCTCTTCGCCGGTAGCGATGACTTGTCTCTGGTTGTCGACACGGTCGTCACGTTCGAACCCTGAGGAGCTAATCGCGTCGAGGATGCGCCGCTGCTGGAGCTTAATTCGTCGATTAAAGACGCCAGATTCTGTTGCCTGTTTTCAAGCGTTTTATGGCTTATGGGATAGAATCGGACGACCTCTTCGCGGCCACCGGTGTTCCGCGCTCTCGGGATAACCTGTCTGTTACCCGGATTCCGCGATATCCGGTATATCGACGCCTCGTGCTGATGAGATTCAGCCGTTGCACTGTCGGCTATCGCTGCCCCGTTTCCACCTCGTCTGAACCCTTTCCTTCGTTGAGGCGGTGTCGCCATTGCGCCGTTTATGAACACCGACAGGAATTCCGTGCCCGCGAGTATGTCGTTCCTCTTCGCTGGAGCACCGTGTACCTCGTCCCACACCAGTGCCGCCTGCAGCAGTACCTGTAAAAATTCGACCAAGCGTCAATTCAGTAAAATTCATCAAGAGTTCCTTTTTGAAAGAGTAATTAACAATAAAATGTTTATGTTTGCTCATTGTTCGTAACATATCATTTAAACTTCACCATGAAGATTAAAAAATTGCTTTGAAAGATCGACTATTTTTTCCGGCATAAAAATCAAGTTTTACGGCAGGGTTTTTACACGCGAGAACGGCTGGACGAAAGGAACACCAGAAAACAGTGAACCGCTTTCAATAAGAGTTACCTGTTATCTGTTAAGTGCATCGAGATACGGATCACGAAATGCTGCGTTGTCTCCCGAGCACCTATCCGCGAAGGGGAAAACGGTTGGACGGGCGATTGCGGGCAACATTAAAGCCACGTGGAATGGGTGAACAAGTTGGCAAGTAGTTTATGACCCGCGCGTACGGAGGCGCAGGTCGCGTCGCCTCGGGTTGATGTTTATTTTTCAATTCGCGAGGACCCGCTAGCCGCCAGGACGATAAAGCGACCGCCGTTCGGGGATCGGGCGAAGGTCGCGCCAGGTGCATCCGCGCAATTTATAAATCGCGTTACGCCCGCGGTAAACTCCGCGAACGAGCGCAGCTTATTACGACCGGCGAGTTTTTAACCGGCCGTTCCATCCTTGTCACCTTGTTATCTCCCGAATCATCTCATTCTCTACCCTAGTGTATTTAAAACCGCATGGCCTTCGTTGCACGATAAAGACCACTGCGTATTTCGATACGTTTCCATGTTTGATGCACCCGCCCTGATTCATCGACTTGCGGAAGTGAGTACACGAGATCGTTGTAAATGTATAAAAAGACATGTTAATTCAATGAACTTTTAAAATTTTTTTACACGGCGTGTACATAAATATATTCAGAAAGTATAATACTGTTCCTAGTATTTAAAATTCATCCTCAAGTGGATAATTCTGTTTATTCTTTAAATCGTTTACCTAATAGCCATGATAGCTACTTTTTAATCTTGCAAAGTACTTTATTCATTTCCTGGTATTAGAATTCGAAAACATGTAGATCATCATTGACAGTTTTACGTACACACATGTATACGAGTGTGAAAGAAATTGAAGGCAGCGTGGAATCATTCAGAGTCCGATCAATATTCATTTATTCAAACGTAGTGAATTAAGATAAGTGGATACGTATTCCTGTAGCGTGACTTTGACCATGGGATTTTAAAGAATTCTTCACACAGCGGAAGTGCGTTCGTAAAAATCAGCATCCTGCCATTATCACTTCTCTCTCTGCTGTCGTATCTGAATTATACATTTCTCTGCGATCACAGAGCAATGCCTCCACTTATATCTTGATCATTTTCAAAATATTTCCTTTATTCAGAAATATATACTACTGCCTGCATTTCGAAACAAAGACACAAAAATCTCTGGATGTGATTCGACTAATTGCAATTTTTATTACAAACTCTCAGTACTGTAAATAATATTACTTAAAACGAACAAATGCGAATTGAAACAAAGGTTTCCTACAGCGAAGACGATGATATAAAATAAGAACAAGAAAATCGTTAAATTTTTCAGAAGGAATTACTACGAAACAACTTTTAATTACAGAGTCCTCTTCGAGTTCTTGATCGTCCTTAAAGAGTCGTAAAGGGAGATAAAAGATACGTTCATTCCCAGCATGATTTCGTCAAGGCCTATCGTGAAAACCGAGATTGCTCGCTATCCTGTGCGCCGGATGCAATGAATTCTGTCATGTAATCAACCAAAACTCCAGGACATTTTCCTCATACGCCGCAAACGTTTAATTCAAATCGTAATTGATGAGACTGTCCAACGATAATGAACGAATGCTGATGTTTCCTGATACTGCATTCCTTATGCTTCTGTTTATCATTCATTATTATGTATTGTAATTAAAATGTCACGCTCGATGGCATTTCTTACCATTCTCAGGATTTCAAAATTATTCTGAAGCTATATATGTATATAATAGCACTGATATCATAAAGTATCGGAAAGACTCAAAGTGAAAAAATTTATGTTGATATTCTGATAAATTAATGATGATGGTATCACCCTAAAAGACTACTTGTAGATCGAAGTTTTTGATGACTTAATTTGTCGCATTTTATACGAAGAACTTGAGAAGCAAGCCGCGAGACATTGATAAGTTAATTGAACAACGCACACAGCAACAGCTAATATTATATTAATATATACGTCCTACCACTATGTCGAGTAATTTGTTTGACTACTATCCAATTTGTTTTCCATAAATCGTGCGTACACGCAACGTGTGCAGGATGCATTCGCTCGATTTATAAAGTTGTCGGCAATGCACAACTCGGTCAGCACTAGTCTAGAACAATTTCCTGTTGAAAGGAGAACGCGTTCAGATGAAGTCATTCGGTTCGCCCACTTCACGATTCCCATTGCGGATAAATATGGTTTATGCTGCTTAAAGTCAACAAAAACAGAATTCCATTTGCTACATTGCATTATTTTTAAAGTTAGACTATTAAGGATGTATTGGCTATATAGTCAATCCCAAAAGTTTATGTACTTGCAAGCAAATTTTAAGTCACTATAATTTTTAAAAAAATCCATGAATTGATTTAAAATTTTGCATGTAGCTTTTTAATAGTAATAGGAATTTATAATAACAAATTCAGCATGTTAGCATTGTTTAAGTATATGTATAGCCTATACATCCTTAAATACAATTAAATGAACGCGAGTAGCTGGAGTACGAAAATCTATTGATGTCACAGAAACAGATTTGTAAATAATGAATGACTTTATGCTTTTACTTAAGGCAGATTTCTCTACTAACGAAGTAAGAAATTAGTGTGAACAATTAATTCGAGAACCTTGGTTCCGCGGCTTTCCAGCGACTGTCGGAGAGATTCCAGTTGGAAGACCTTGCCACTGGGACAATTTTGACCGGACGTCACGATCGTCTCTCGAATCGGGTTTAATTAAAGTCACCGTATCGACAGGTGTCCGAAGGTGAACGCACTCTTGTCAAACATTTACGTAATGAATCAACCGGTTCGGATGGTCGGGGCCAATTTGGCTCGATTCGTGACGGCAATTGATTGAGTATTTTGATTGCTATCGGGAGGGGAAAAAAGAAAACAGCGTCGATTGAGGATACGCTTATGACGGTGCCGTTAAACGTTAAAGGAATTCGCGTGGGACAAATGTTGGTCCAGATACGTGTTCCCGCTCAGTTATAAACAATATGCAGGTGTGGCCATTTTAAAGACAGGCCTCGTCACCGTCAAGGAATTGGGATTTTTAGAAGCGCGAGTGAGCTCACCGATCGGAGCACTGATAGATATTACGCATGTTCGATAAAATTAGATTAGATACCGGCGTTAGCTAATCATGGTGCGTGACCATTAATTCCAACGAAAGAGTTTGTAAAAAGTGAACCTTCACATTTTTTAAGAACCTAATATAGCCGTAACACCTTCAATTTTCTTTGAATGGATTTAATTCCATTACTCTCTTTTTAAAATGATACTAAATAATGAACGTTATCTGTAATTGCATCACAGAAGAAATCCAATTAAATTACAAACTTATGGTCTCGATGACTTGCTTCTTATTGCGAAACAAATCAAAACCTATAATTGAAAGTGGGAACGAAATTTCTCAAATAACTTTGAACAGGTTCGTTCACCTCTACTACTTAATGAATTTTATAATTCTGTTCAAATGCAGTTTAGATAGAGTCTCGTCTAACAGGAGTAGCATTGAGCAATAGGTATTTTAGATCAATTATCCACTGGAGGGACGCGATTGATATAAATTTGCATGTATGAGTTCGACGTTCCATAGACGTTTCATTAATTTCGTTCCAACGAGCTAGCTTTTATGAACTTATTAGGGTTCTCTCAATGATGACGTTAACGAATGAGGTACAGTGTTTCTACCGCGGTACATCATTAAAAGTAACAAGTCCTAAAATTAATCAACAAAATATGAAACTGGCCCCGGTGGCATCGATCGCTCTGGGCTTTGTGACCGAGTTTACAAAAATGTTGCAATCATACATACACCTATAACATTGCCATAAATAAAATGCATATGCAGTTTAAGAATTACTATTATTTATAAAAGCACTTTGGAAGTTAGTGGCAAGTATATTAATCACAGGAATCTCTGGAAGAAAATGTAATGAAGATACGCAACGGAGACTTGAATGATTTCACAGGTGCGGCCACGTACCGAAGACAAGCTCATCGCGAAGGAATCACGGATTTGAGAAGATGCTAGTGGGCGCAACTCGAGTTATTACTGTCGCCCCCGTTTCAATGTCCTTTTTTAATAACTTTCTTGGTTGCGTTGACCCACTTACCAACGGCCGACTGTCTGCTCTGAAAGAACCTCTGCCTAACGACCCGGTTAATGGTTTCACGTTTTCTTTCTCATTCTGATTTTAAATGAAATTAACGAATCGTAATTAGATTCTTACAAAAACTTAAATGGTTCTAATGAACGGGTTTAAGTATTCGTTTCTTGGTAAGATTCCACGGGAGAAAAAGAAATAATCGAAAACAATCATATTTCGTTGAAGCGTTACAAACATCATTTATTTAACTATAAAAGTGGAATGTCGAATATCTTAAATATCGTTTGAGAAGCACATTATCGTCGTCCCCTCGAAAATAGTCAAAATGGAATTTTATCACAGCTAGCTTAATTAACCGTAACGGAAACTCCATTGGTGCTGACACTATTTTTCCGCTATTAGATACACGTGTCAACATATTTTCTTGGCATACCTCGCAGTTCCTCCGTTATTTAACGGGAGACCATAATCATGTAAGTAAACGACTTGAGATACGTAGTAAAATGATAATTTTCATCTTTTAAAGTATTCCTCGGTTAGCTTCGTGGAACGTGTCATAATTTTGTTCATTTAAGAGAATCTGATAACAGTTATCTACTCCAATGTACTTCACTTGACAAAAGATGATGTTAATGGGAGAACGTAGGTA